TGCAAGAGCAGCTCAGCCAAACACGGGTGGTGCCGAAAATCGGCCCGTAGACCGGGTCCTCGATGCGGTAGACATAGCAGTCGCTGCAGGAATCACCCAAGTGGCCTTTGCCGCTGTACTACATCAGGAGAGTCAGCAACGTAAAGCACATATGATTGTGTGTATAATCCGCGTACCTGGATCTTGGTACCCGTGTAGGTGAAGCATTGGTTGAGGTCAAGGGAAGTCGACTTAACCGTGCCCTTGCCGTCACCGGCGTTGCAGTTCGCCGTCAGAACCTGGGTTGCGGGGTCGACGTGTTCGTCCGTGCAACTCTTGCTAAAGTCCCCTGCAGCGACTAGGGACGCTAGCATGGCAACGGCGATGGAGAAGGTCTTCATGGTGTGGGTATTGGATCTGAGATGAATGGACTGATCTTGTGAGACGATTGTATCAAGGCTGGATGATGCTGCAGTAGAACTTATTGTCCAAGACCTGACCTTTCGAAGAGGCACATCGATTCTTTAATAGCCTGATGCGATCATCGGAGAATAAGGTGTTTTACCGGGTGCTTTTTACTTCCGCATCATAGTTCCGGCCGACGGAGTTTGCAGCGTCGTATGCTTCGCTGCTTTCGGTTTGCCGTTGCAACCGCGGAATGCGTTCATTTGACCATAAGAACGTGACATCCAATACACCCAGTACCCAACGGGCAGGTGCGGAGCATCACTTTCCATGTTTGTGAATCTTAAAATCCAATCAGGGAGGTGAACGGCCCGGGACTGCAACGGCGGCTATCTGGACCAGCTTCACCAGAACTTTTGTTTTCCAACGAAGCGGAACCGATCAGACCCCCGATGAGGAGGGAGCCGGCCGACGGGCGGTGACAAGACATGTGTGTTTGCCGTGTGATTATAACTCAGCTTCTAAGCAGGATGTTTGCCTCCCTTCTGGAGTGAACCAACGGTGAGGCACGCCCACCATGTAAGGTTACAATTAAGGCTTTGTCACAGCGGGACATTATGCAAGGGTTCCAAGATACCTGCATGCAGTGGATCTCTGACATCCGGTCTAGACGCAGATCCTGACATGAAATCTCCTCATTTCGATCGTCCCGCGCGGTACTTGACGCTAGCCTTGATTCACTCACGTGTTCAGTGGACGGGCAGATCTTTCCGATCACGGGGCGTGTGAGTCTCAATCAAAGTCACAAGCGGAAAGGCTTTATGGGCATCTACATGGAGTGAGAGTTGGGCATGGGGCTGCTGATTTGAGAATCTGAGTACCATTACTTGGCCGTGGTCAGGTTGGAAAAATCGAGGTCTCATTCTTTGGGGGTGAGCTAACAGCACTCACATGCTGTAACAGATGTTTCTTGTTTGGAAACAAATGTTTACTCAAAAACGGCGAGAAACGACAATAACGGAAGGTGAGTGCCAAGAGGGGACAGTGAGAATAAGTACTTGATCCTGATACCGGCCGGCAAAAAGGTTCGGCAGGCCTGGTTGCCTCCCTTGCATCGTGCCCCCGCCCCCACCTCCCGAGAAACCGGGTGATCCTTCATGGTTGCCACCAAATAAACCCGGATGGTGGTTATCATATCATGGGTCTAGGCCATGTTCACGGGAACTAGCGCGTCCAACGTCCCTGGCTCTCGACAAAACAACCGAAACGGTTGGCTGTGAAATATCTTACATGTGATTAGACTCTCGCGGAACATTATTGATTCGTGACGGCGAAGATATTAGGAATTTCATAGAACACCAATGAACAGACAACACGAGCAAGCACTGCATGATCATGCAAGAGATATGGAATGACTAGAAGCAAAAGGCCCGATGGACTCTACGGTGAGAATACCGCATCGGTAAGACTACGCGCTAGGTCACCCCTCTAGAACGCCGACGACTCGACAAATCTGGTCTTTGATGGTCGAGACTTTCTGGCCACTAATCGCCTGGAGACAGTGTTCAATAATGCAGGTGATGGATTACTTACCAACCTATGCCCAAAGTATTAAATGATGGCCCGATAATTAGCCCATGTTGGTCCGGAAACCAGCCATGTAGGTACATGTAGTTTGGTTTGTTCAGTACATGCGGCTTGCTGAAAATGGCCACATGCATGGCATATGCACTTTGGTGCATACCCCTTTTTCTCAAGAACACAAATTTCCTTTGGAGCTCTCCTCATTGGTTGTCAAAGAGGCCGGTTAGACAACGGACAGAGAGTCTTCCACATCGCACGAGATTTACACTCGGAATCAAGATAGACCGTGCAGTTCATGCAGCAAGGAGATAACTTTGAGAGCTCTATCAATGGCGGCAAGCAATCTTGACAAAATGAAGAAGTTGTTTAACTAGGCAGTGGGAAAGTATCGCTGAACAAGGTTTTGGTACTTAGTTAGGACTACAAAGAAAGATGTTGACAAGTCCAGCCGATATTTGCACCTATCCGCGTCTACTTTCTCTACCTTAGGCAATCTAACGACTGGAATCGCCGCGTCTTCAAGAAACCGGCCAAGGACTACTCTGATACCTGATTTGAACGCATAATGATAGAACCCGAACTTTGTGCGACCCACGGGAGTCTAGCGGACTCGGTGCTATATGACGGGAAGGAGTAAGCGACCGAACATCGTAGTTGGCTTATCGAAAGAGAAGTCTTGAGGTATTTTTTTGAAGAGGAATGGTTTAAATCATCGCCACTCACCCAGTTTTCTCTCAAGGGCGTTCACCGCAGGTTCTCCTGCACTGGGAAATGGCATGTCCGTCATAAATGCCAAGATCATCCATGCATTGCTGAACGCACTAATGAGATCTGTTAGCTCAACCCATTACGCGTTGTCAACTCACACCTACAGCCGAAAGCTGTCGCTTCTCAGCTTCCACAGAGCTTGCCGCAGTGGTCACAGCCATGATGGCGGTCAGGAGCGTGACGATGGAGAAACGCATTTTGAGACTTGAAGGAGGTTTTGTGAGTTGAAGACGGTGATACAGTCAGACTTGAAGATGTTCAAATTGTTGATCTAATGTGATTGATGAGATCGAGTTATAATCTGGCTTCCTGGATGCTAACATGTAGTCTTTATAGCTCTCTGGCATTAACAACATTGGACAGAGAATAACATTCTCGGCAATACATTCTTACTTCCCACATTAGCAGAGATAATTGCTAGAGTCGCTAGTCATCTTGGCGGAGCGACGGCTGGCTGACAATTACCCTATGAGACTTGCAGTTCTGGATGTAAGGGTAAGAGTAAAATCCTATAGGATCTGCCAAGCTATGGAAAGTAAGCGTGGCAACGTTCTCACTTTCCTATATGGGACTCAATCGGCAGAATGATAAGACAGCCGAGATTCAATTCAGGTTGCCTTCCTTTCAAGAACTAGGCGCTTCGCACTTGTTGTGCAAGCCCAGCATCCGTAAATCTGAAAACGAATTAGTACGTGATAGTTTGATTGTATAGCTGTGGCACAGCTTCGTGATCCGAGACAGGCTGCAAAATATACCTGTCGTTGATCCTTTCGCCTCTTCATACCTGCCCGTGTAGTCTTAGCCCTCATCTGAGTTCTGACGAATTGATTGAAAACATTTCTATACCTGATGGTTGCACAACAAGAAATTCTTGGTGCTCTGTTACGAAGTATGGCAGGTCTAGGCGTGACCTTCAGCCATACTCATCTGGGCATGTCATTCATTGGCCAGCTCGGACTTGTTCAGTCTAAGGTAGGATCCTAGAACCCAATTCAATCCAAGAAATTGCAAGTACTGTGTCTTGTAAACAATAAGACTCAACCTATAACGAGCATTGCTTTGAAGGCAGCCTGGATAGAGCTTGGAACTGCCCAGGTATCCCATATCTACACCATGACTCTCACAAGATGGGTGAATACTTGTCTAGTAGCTCAGTATCACATTGCACATAAAAACCATTCGGATCGGGACATGCGATCAAACAACCCGTCAATTCCAAGGTAATAAGGACTAAGGGCCCCTTCAGACCAAGCAAAGCACGGGCAGCGACTGACTCATTCAGCCATGCTCGACGAGTTGATCTATCAAGGCTTCCTAGCATGAGGTTATGAGCTCTGATACGCGAGTCACATATGGCCTAAGTACTGAGACTTCGAGTCGAGCATTTCTCTTGCATGTTCACAAGACTCTTGAACCGGCCGATGAACCTGTGCTTTATTGTAAACAAGATGGGTGTGCAATTTTAGTGCTCAAGGCTCATCATGTGTTCGGTCTTTTGAGTGTTCACGAAGCGTTGTTGCGTAATTCTTCGGGGAACTTCGCAGGGAATTGCTCCGTTCTGTTCGTGTCATTGCCGCGTGGCTGCTCGGCGGGCAAGTTCCCATTCTTAAGGATAGGTAGTGTAGCTGCCACGTGGGAAGTGAGAATTGGGCAAAAGTCTATTCTATCACTGTGTCGCGACATCTCGTAAACGACACCAAAAGGCCCGCGCTTCCCATGGATCGAGTCATTCCCGAATCTGGACCGAGCCGGGCAACCAAGGTGCCTGTGCCCTTGCGGAGTCGAACATGCCGCTCCACGTCCCGTGGCAACCTGCCGTCTCTTTATGCTCTGGAACGACGGCTACAAACCTTGTCCGAGTCCACGACAGCGTAGCTCGCGTGGGCAGTAATTTGGGCTCGCAATTTTCTAGCTAACAGACAGTCTGACTCAGTGCAGCGAACTTGAAGATGAAAATCGTCCGTTTTGAGTTTGGCTTCGCACCGACAACTGCATCGCACAAATGTCTCATCCGCATGCGCCGCCTCCCCGGCAGGCCTGGGTTGCTCCGATCCACATAGCCTCTCGTTTCGCTCGATCTAGACTGCAACCGGCTGTAGCGACAATTAGTGACCTCATAAATAGGGTGGAGCCCCCATCCTTTCAACACGCGCAATGATCTCGTAATCATGGCTAGGCGTTGGTTCTGGGCTTTTTTCCATCACGTTTATGATCACGCCAGGTGGACAGGACGACTTGCCTCAACCCTCAGATGACACGCAGCCATGAGCTGGACCAGACTGCGCATCGCGGTTTGGCTAGCATGCCTCGCCGTGGATGTGATAGCAGCATCCACCTCTATACAACTGACCACAATATCAAATGCAACTTCGCCCGGGGTAATATCACCAGCCCCCCTTGACCCGGCAGCAGCCGCGATGGAGCAGATGGCAGCCTCGTTATCCCCATGTGCAGTAAGACCCCACTGATCTGCTATTCTAAGTGAACGTTAACTCAAGGTAACGTAGTTGAATTGCACAACGAGAGAGGTTGCAAAGTCGCCTTGCAACGCTACCGACTTCACGTGTATTTGCACAAATCGTTTGCTCAACGGAAACATTGGCGCATGTTTGGCACAGCATTGCACTGTGACTGAGTCTCTACGTATGACATCACTTGTTTGGAAGCGGTTTTCTTTCGAAGCCCATCTATCATTTGGTTCAAGTCTACAAGACGTTGCGCATAGATCATGCTGACAGGCGTCTAACTATCAGAGGGACAGAGATACTCGAAAACGTCTTGCAGAGTGCCCGTTCGTCGCAACACAGATCAAGGCCCCATCACATGGACTCTCTTCTCTATTGCGCTGGTGGCTCTAGCTGCTCGACTGATCTCCAAAATTCCTTCTCTGAATCCTGCATTCTCGTTCGGCTGGGACGACTGGCTGATCCTTGCATCTACTCTTGCGCTGATTCCAGCAGACATTGGATCGCAAATTTGTGTGTTCACGAGCTGACATCCTTATTCAACAATCATGACTGACCATATCCGTAGTGATCGGTATAGGTCTGGGGCAGGACATATGGATGGTCTCTCCAGACAACATCACCCAGATTCTCTTGGTAAGGACGGGCCCCAATACCCCATGCTCCCAATTAATGGGGAACTGATAGCATACTGACATAATGTCAAGCTTTTCTTCGTCGAGGAGCTTCTCTACTCATTCGTTGTGGCTGTCACCAAGTTGTCGATCCTCATATTCTACCTACGTCTCTTCGCCGAGACCTGGTTCCGGGTGGTTTGCTATGTTATGTTAGGGGTCACGACGGTCTATGGTATCGGGCAGATACTAGCTATCGTCCTCGTATGCTCCCCAGTGAGCTATAATTGGACGCAATGGGATGGTGAGCATCAAGGAAAGGTATGCGTCTAATGTGGCTTCACCCTGGCCTACTGCCATTCCATTCGGATCACACTGGCTGATTTTGGGACTCCAACTAGTGCGGGAACGTTAATCTCATGGCCTTTATCAATGGTGGAGTGAATATTGCCATCGACTTCATTTTGTTCATTTTGCCAGTCACTCAATTGTAAGAAGATGTCAGAGGTTGCTTAGTACTCGATTACTGATCAAAGGATGTAGTATCACTGTCTCGTGGACTCTCAAGAAGAAGATCGGCGTGAGCCTCATATTTTTAGTTGGTTTATCGTAAGTACCGCTATACATATCTCATTATGTCTTCTAGGGGTTACTGATTGCCCTATAGGGTGACGGCCTCGAGTGGGATCCGGCTGGCTACATTGGCGAAGTTCGGCGGAACGCAGAATCCGACGTGTGAGTGAGATCTTACAGACTTTTGGAGACCACAACTGACTTCAGAATTTGCATACAGACGATTACAAAGAACTATCAATTTGGTCGTTGGTTGAGATGCACATGAGTGTCATTTGTGCGTGCATGCCGGGGATGACTTCTTTCATTCGACGAGTGTCACCGCGAATGTATCGCATGAAGCAGTATACGCCTCAGCAGCCAGACAGGAATCAGCCACGAACAGGGCGTTCCGTTGCTCGCCGCATTCAGGACACTTTGGCACGCATCACTACAATCAGGATAACGGGCAATCGCTCGGGTTGGGAGAGCTCACAAGCAACCGTAAAGAGCAGCGGCACAGAGAGTTCAACAACTAGCGACCCAAGATCAAACGCGTACAAAGACTACCTGACTTACGCACCTTATGCGGACGGTCAGGAAGGGGGAACTGAGTTGAACACGTTGAGAAGTAGGGAGGTTACGTAAACTTGTTGCAATGGTCCAGGAAGCGCAGTAGAAAAGTATCTCTATTTCCAAACTCTGTCTCTAACTTAAAACTCAGATGATCATCTAGACAAGTCGGAACTTGGAAGATCATTGATGCTCCCAAGGCCCGCCGGTGAGGTTGCGATCCCGTCGTAAGTCCAGTTGAATTTCATCCTTTGCATGATAATCTCAGGCGAAACTTTAGCTGCCGCTACTCTTGAGTTCAGCTGAACCTGGGATGCGCGGCTACACCTGGCTTGGTTCCATTGCTTCAGCTTACCGGGCAAATCCTCTTTTGCGAAGTCTGGGTGAACTAGAATTCTGAATGCTTCAGCATCTTCCAAAGCTTGGTTGGCTCCTTGTCCTTGATACGGCACCATAGGGTGGGCTGCATCGCCAATCAAAACAGTCGAATCTTTCGTAAAGGTACTTAAAGGGTCTGCATCACGGAGTTGATATAGTTTGACGTCAGGCAAAGTTCTGGTAATGGCAGTCAGCTTCGCGTTCCTTCATCTCGAAAAAATGTTGTAGGGTAGCCCACTTCATGAGTTGTAGAAGCCATGATGGAAAGTCCTTAAAACTCTCAAGCATTTCGTGTACATCGCCATCCTTAGTCCAAGACTCTTCGGTCTGCTGCCGAAGCATACTGTCTGGGACAGCGCAAGCAAAGTTCATGACCTCCATATCGCGACAGGGGTATACAACAACGTTTCGGTTCGACCCGTCCGCCGCAATAAAGGAAGATAGAAAAACGCCGTTTTCATATCTGAGCACATCCGGAATTTCTCCGAGAACATCCGATATTCTGGAACGGCTAATGGTGAACCTATACAAAGAAAGGTTCGCGGGAGTTGACTCGGCGTAACACGGACCAGCAACAGCTCGACGGACTTTCGAATGAATGCCGTCCGCACCTGGATACTGTCAAGGTTCAGTCATCTTAGTCTAGCACAGCGACTAGACGTACCAATTATGAGATCCGCTTTGATCTCGGACCCATCTTCAAAGATTAAAGCTCGATCTTGAGGGTCAATTCGCACAACGCGAGAATTGTAGATAATCTTGGCAGGACGGCCAGATAGACCCAGATCAGGGCTTGTTGCAGCTCGTAGGAGAGCATCTTTGAGATCCTGGCGATGGACCATCCACCACTCGGAACCGAAGTCTTTGACGCAGTCAATCCTTGATTCTCTAATCAAGTTGCCGTTTTGGTCATAACTCCTGAAGCCATTAGATACAACAGCTTTCAGGGACTCTTTAGTAAGTCCAAGTCTGGCGGCCATCTTCGAGCCATTTGGACCTAGCCCAATGGCAGCACCACTTTCTCCCGCTTCTGGATCATTACGCTCGTATATGGTGACATCATGAGCTTCTCGCAAGACACGTGCCGCTGCGAGTCCGGCTATGCCACCGCCGATGATGGCAACTTGAAGGGCTGTGGAACTTGTCATCTTATGTCCAGGCAGTAAAGCTTTTCTCCCAGCAGTCGAAAAGTCCAAGTCAACTCTTCTCAAAGTAAAGAAATCAAGGTAGAATTTGGGTGATAATGGTTTGAAATCTGACTCGGTTGTGTCTTGCCCTCATGTTGACTGGTGTGAAAAGTCGTTCGGCTTTGTAGTTGGCCACGGCTTCTCTCAATCGAAACTGACACAGCTAACACGTATTTCTGGAAGAATTATGACTCGGCTACCGCTTCTAACTCCCGGTAATGAGATAGACTTTCGTGCTATGCCCGTCGCTCTCGGGTGACAGGTGGGTCTCGAGAACACCCGGCTTTCGGAAACCGGAGTCCGGAAAACCCATTAGTATCTGTAGATCTCAACTTCTGTGCGACCAAAAATCTGTGACTACGTTGGTGGGAGTTTGGCATTACTCAAGTCTCGAGACTTGCTCTGTCGGATGTCGGCCGTTTTGCGAAAACGGAAAGCCGGCTTTCTGGATCGATGAAGCAGCTTGAGAAGAGATGTGTGTGCTAAGACCCCACAAGCCCAATCCAATGAGGAGCTACTGATCGCTAATTATGTCTGCAATCTGTTACGCACAGTGGGTTATGGGAGTTTGAGGGGCATAGGGGCTTTTTTCTTCTCGAGATGAAGTCATGTCGTCAATGAATGGTGATGAAAAGGGGCAGTCTTGTCCGGGGCGATATACAAAAGGGAGTGTTGCAAGTAGAACTTGGACTTTTACTCTCGTCAACTTTGAATACATCGATCAAACCAGTACTGCCGTATACTTCTAGACATGTTCTCGACTGTTTGGGCCTGGGTCCTTCTATGCGGCGTTGCTGCTGCCCTCGCGTATCGCCGATCAGTTTCGAAGCTGTCTGGAATTCCCTTGGTTGGATTCGAAGTCAAAGACCCTAAACAACGAAAAGGCCAATACACCTTCAATGCTCCCGGTATTGTGCAGACAGGATACGAAAAGGTATGCAGCTTCGAACCTTGTGGTGGATGTTCCGGACTGAATAATTCCGTTAGTTCAAAGACAGAATCTTTGGCGTGGATACAGCAGATGGTACGAGCAATTTCATATTCTCACAACACTCCTTGATTACATGTGCTGACACACTAAGATAGGTGTCAAACTCATCTTTCCGCATCAATATGTGGACGAAATCTCGAAAGAGCCAGGACTTAGCTTCCAAAACTCCCTCGACGAAGTAAGACCGGGAGAGAAATGGAGCCAGGCTTGTCATACTGAGAAAGCTTAGGATTTGTTGATCGATTACACGTACATGGGCGGACTGAAGCAGTTCGCATTGTCTACTTTCAAGCGAGAAATCACACCTCATCTTCGTCAGTTTCCCCTTCAAGATGTTTTCGATGTGGAACTAACTTCCGCTTTTTCTAGCCATGTTCATTCCTGACTTCATTTCACTTATTGACGGTTATATTCCCAACGCACTCACTGAATCCGAAGGCGAGTTGCGTATACATTCTCTCCAACTAGCCTAATCTACTTACAACAACACTTGACTAACGTACCTTCATTACCGATAGAATGGACTTCGGTCAACATCTATCCGAAAATGCTTCGTATGCTCGGCATACTAACAGCAAGAGTCATGATTGACAGTGATGCCCCTCACAATGAGACTTGGGTCACTCTGACCACCGAGTATCTGCATGCTGGGGTAAGGCACGCGCATGCCTTGAAGTTCTGGCCCCCAGTGCTAAGGCCGGTCGTTCATCGATTTGTGCCAGGATACGCTGAGGTTCAGAGGCAACTCAACCTCGGAAGGTCTATAGTTGTCGACGCTATCCGCAAAATTGATGAGCGAGAGAAGAACGGCGTATTAGAGCGTCAGCCGACGAGTGTGCTTTACCATATGTCTCGCAAGGCACCAGGTGCTTCTTCCGCGGTCATTGACATGCATCTCAAGGAGCAGCTGAATCTTGCTGTGGGAGGAATACACACCACCTCCGCCGTGCTCACCCAGACGATTTTCGAGCTTTCGGCACATCCAGAGTATGTCCCAAAATTGAGGAAAGAGGTGATTGATACTTTGGTCAAATTCAATGGGGAATTCTCGAAAGCTGCTTTGTGGGACATGCACAAGTTGGACAGTTTCATTCGCGAGACTCATCGCCTGAACTCGCCGAACCTCAGTATGTTATTCATTGATTGTTAGCCGTGAGTGGATCTAACTATATCTTAGCAACTTTACAGAGACGCGCTACCCAAGATGTTACTCTCTCAGACGGTACCTTCATCCCGAGTGGTACAAAGCTCGAGTTTCCGACGTTCGCTATCCACCGTGATAGTGAGTTCTTCGTTGACGCTACTGAGTTCGACGGATTCAGATTCTTGAAATTGCGTCAAGAAGATGACAAAGATGGCGGAAAGCATCACTATGTCAGCGCTCGCAGAGATATGTTGGGCTGGGGTTTTGGCAAGACGGCATGTCCTGGGCGATTCTTAGCCGATATCGAGATAAAGCTGATTGTCGCATTCATCCTGATGAACTACGATATCAAGAACCCGGATGGCCAAGGCAGACACGCGCATGTTCATTTTGAGAATCAGGTTTGCAATTCTATTGCTCAAGACTACATCGGCAATGACTGACATACGAGCAGGTTTTCCCTGACCCCGTCAACCCAGTGCTCATGAAGAAGATTCTGCGTGAGGACATTGACGAAAATGGTCATGTGAGACAGTAGAACAAGAAAGTTCACGTGAATTCGCCGGATCAGAGACAGATGATCAACCTTCCTTGATATGGGTATTCTAGTTACTTTCTGTTTTGAAAATTGGAAAGTCAGCAATCGGCAGACACCTTTATCCTTATTGTGTGTATGCCTCTGCATTGAGTAATATCTCCTACTAAAAAAAAGTAGCATATGGACCCTTTCCGGTGATCTTTGTGTTGCCCTGGTCCCCAATAGAGCTGTACTTGGCAATCATTGTCTACAATGTCACAGCTTGTGGTCAAAATCTGGGTGCGACATGACCCGGAAATGTGTAATGGTGTTCATCCCACCGGCATCGGTGGCCGAACCCCACGCGCCCGAGATCCCCATCAACATGGGTCGCTCGGATCAAATCCATCCCGATCGATGACAGCTTCAATTAGCTAGAGGTCTCCGTCCGAAGTCCGTCCGGGTGTTGAAGTGTTGGCTCCAACCACCGGTACTGACTTCCGGCCAGGCTGCCCTACTCCCTCATCCCTTCGCCATCCTTCCGCCTTGTTCACACCCCTTTCGGACACAATATTCCGAACTGGAACAACTGCGAACCTCATGGTCAGCACTGTTATGATGGTCTTGATTTGCTACATAGTAAAGTATGGCCTTTCATGCTGCGCCGAGGAATCGTGCTGTAAGTAGTCCCACCTTTCTGCTGGTGAAGAAGTACCGCGTACTAATCCGGGCCTAGTGTGACTTTTGCTTCGAAAAAAAGGTAAGCACTTGCTGCGCCTCTATCGAAGTATGATAACTTGAATCTTCATGTTATACTAACATCGTTTAGGTCAAGTGCGACAGAGAGGATCCTTGTGCCAATTGTCGAGCGGCCTCCGTGGATTGTTTACGCAGACGGCCTAAGAGAAGAATTAGACATGCAGCTTATGTGAGGTGCGTTTCCCAATCTTCTACCAGGCCACAAGAGTCTGAATTCGACGACACTAATTGACACATGGAAATGATGTAGAAATAATTCGTTTGCTATCACATCGACTCGGAGGAACCCTCCGTCGCCAAGAATAACGCCTCGCAGCCCACAAGCTGCTCCCCAACAATTACATGGCAACTCTTCAGTTCTTGAACAACGTTCAGAGCCAAAATCTCATGATGAGGGAAACGTGCCTGGGGAAACACCTGCTTCTCAGAATAGCAAGCAAAAGTCAACTTGTTCCTCCACCACTGAAACGGGACCAGCTGCTGCACAAGCTCACAGTCATATTGGATCGGAGCTGGAGTCCCGCCTAGGGCTAGATGCAGGAAAACGAGAAGTTCTCAGAGCAGCTCTGGCGTTTTCAAAGCAGGTGTCCCAGCAACTAAGCGTCATTGCGTACGAAGAGGATTCTTCGGAAACCTTTGATATATTCAGCGAAACATCTTATCCAACAGCCGAGAGTCTTTATCTGATCCTTTCAAGTCAGCAAACTCCTTTTCTTGTGTCTTGTCGAATAGTGCTGATAGAATTCAAGGTCCTCGAAAAAGTGTCGGCCAGTCTTTTACAATGGACATCGGGTCTGTCATTTCTGAGGAAACGCTTGAGCGTCAAGCCCTTGAACTGATTGAAAAGTCTGTAAATGGTGCGACGCGTGTTCATTACATAGTGACTGTGAACTTCTTTGTCTGGATGTATCTAGGAGCCTCCAACTATCATACGACAGGCTCTATTATGGTTCAGCATATTCTAAAGAGGCGCCAACAGTATGAGAAGAACTTACAAGCAGCTTTATGCCGTATAGGCGTCCTGGACCAGCCAAGCTTGCCACTGCTTCAAGCACTGCTTTCCGGTGTGAGTATTGCGCGACTCGTTCTGTTGAGTCCTTCATGCTGAGACTTTCAGGCCATGTTTATGCTCCTCTCGGGGAAATTGGAGATGTGTTGGCAGTTGAGTGCGTCAGCATCGAGAGTATGCATGGCCTTGGGTGGACCTCGCCGGATCAGCTCTCAGACCATGGCTGCCCATGAGCTGCGAGAAACTCGGTATACTTTGTCGATCTGCTACATGTTTGATAGAGCGCTGGCTCTGAGCATGAACCGCTGCCTGTCTCTTCCTCAATTCGACATGAATCCTGCGGAACTAGTGCCACCAGACGCAAAGAAGCCATACACTTCACTCATTCAAGTCTTTCTGCAATTGGCGGAGGTTCAATCCGAGATTGTTCACCACGCGGAGATCAAGAACATGAAAGCACGGGAAGATGTTGAAACAGTCCAAACATTGCAAGGAAAGATGTGGAAAATAAAAGAAACGATCAGAGAGGTGGGGATAATCGAGCACATGGAATAGGCAGAGAGCTTTTACTGATTGAGGATAGTGTCAAAAGCAGCCCTTGCATACCGAGGAGATGTATCTTCAGGCCGAGTGGATGGGCGTAGATTTTGTCTATCATTCCGTCATGACATCGGTTGTCAAGCTCCACCCGTACCTGATGGATGATACTGGTTTACACCAGCAATTGCTTGGCTACGCTCGCACATCTCTTAGTTCCCTATCTGAGATGTTGAGCATCGCGAAAACTTTGGTGGATTTTCACCTATTTCGGGTTTCAGTTTCGTGGTAAGTCCATCTTCTAAGTTCAAGTTTCCATCGAAAAGACGTGATTGTTGATAGCTGACTGCTTAGGCTTATTTTGTTATATCCCGTTTACCCCTTTTTCGTCATTTTCACCCACACAGTCAACACCTCGAGTCTTCAAGATTACAGCTTGATAACTCAGGTTACAACAAGCCTCCAGGAGTTTGCTGGCCATAATCCAGCTTTGATGGGAGTCCAAAAGCTTTTCGAGGAATTCGTTAAACTCTGCAAGCCTATCTTTGAGGCGAACAGGTCGATCGACGTCACATCCCCAGCAGTCCCAGTAACAGCAAATTTGCCACCGCAAAAGACTACGCCGCACACACACCATAATAGGGTTTCTCAAGGTCTTTCAGGCCCTTCTGAGATAGGGTCTTTCACATCATTGGTACAGGATGCACTATCTATCCCGGTAGCAGGGGAACATGTAGCCAGCGGGATCACATTCCCTGACTTGAGCACTCTGGAGGAGAACGAGTTGCTAGCAGAGTTATACAGCACACATCCATCAATAGGCTGGATAGATGGCAATTGGTCAATATCGTAAACTTCTAAAGATTGAGTTGTAAAGATTGAGGTCAATCAAGAAACATTCCTCCAGAGACATTCAAACTAGCACCATTAATCCAGCTTGCTCTCTCCTCAGCCAAAAATGCAACTGCAAAAGCGACATCTTCAGGCAACCCAATCCAGCCATCCACAGGGGTCCTGGCATCGAATATCTGTGTCAGAAAGGCGCCGCCAGTTCTCTGCAATTCTCCAAGGAACTGTGGCGATTTGATAATACCAGGAGACACTGCGTTCACCGTACATCCGTAGGTAGGTGGTAACTCTTTTGCCAGACAACGGGTAAGAGTCGCAATCGCACCCTTGCTGGTGGCATACCCCAATTGTTGAACCTCAGGGTCCGTCGATACAGCAGAAGTGATGTTGATAATCCTACCGCCGCCACCCTCCGACTTGGGTGGGAGGTGCGGTAACGCTGCCTGACACACCAAGAATGGCCCGCGGACGTTGGTTGACATTGACGCATCCCACAAGTCGACGGTTGTGTCTTCTACTTTAGCAAGTGTTGCTTTAGCTGCGTTGTTGACGATGATGTCGATCTTCCCAAATTGGTCGACGGCGGCTTGCACAAGATGAGAGGGGCCGCTCGTGGTCGAAATGTCTGCTTCCACGGCAATCCAAGGGCTCGTCAGGCTTTCCCCAAGATCGCGCGCGGCGCGTTCCAACTCGGGCCAACCGTAGTTGATAACCACCGAAGCCCCTCGGGCTGAGAGTTCTCTAATAATGGCAGCTCCAATGCCGGACGAAGAGCCCGTCACTAGGGCTACCTTGCCCGCGAGCGCATTGGGGACGGCGTCTTTAGGGGGGTTGATTCGTTTGCGACTTGCAATAGCTTCCATGATCGAATCGTCCAGTCTGATGATCAATTATTTGAATACAACAGGTTTGTTTTCTTCCAGAGCAGGTATCTATTCAAAAACTTGAGGAGATATATTAGACACTATAGGCGCTTTCAACCTTCGCCTAAATTACTGGTCGTCAGATCTTGAGTGGGCCGGGGCATTCAGCACTGCTTCGAGTCGGACCACGTTCGCAGCCGGAAGTTGCACGGCGTTCAAAGAAACAAACGTCCGAAACCCATAACCACTGCGTAATACTACCTTATGATGAGATGCTTTCCGTCTGGTTGCCTAGGCACTCATGTTGGTGTCGATGAATCATGCCGAAACATGGGTCATTCATGGTTCGGATTTCGGCCGGAAACCAGTGTTGCCAGCTTCCGGTCTTCCGGCCCGTGCGACTGTGTTGCTTTGGATTTCTGCCAACAACGACAAGGAAGAAATGTGACGCATGAGTCCAGGATGTTACTGTATCAGCTAAAGACTCCTAGCTGGCCGATGCTCATCGGCAGAGAGAACGTCAGTGATCGCCTTGGCTTCACTTAAGGGGTCGAATGAAATCCTCGTGTTAGGTTGAAACGTGAACCATTGCGGCAGCACATCAGAGGAGCCTATTAACAAAAATGTCGACATCTTTTCAAAATCAGGCTGTAGCAGAAACGCGTCCGGATGCTGATGGTGTCACTGGCCTGGCCGTATTCGCGACCGATTCATCAGGTGAGTCTTCGTGCGATATGGTGGTTTCCAGAGTCCAGGCTTTCAGGACCAATCGATGTGAGGAGATTGCTAACATTCGCTAAGGGCATCAACTCATCGAGGAGTATTTTGGCCGAAGCAGCAGCATCAAGTCCGACAAAATCGGAAAGGATAGTGTATTCTGGATCTATTCGATCACGAAAACAATTACAGCGATTGCTGCTTTGCAGTGCGTGGAGCGAGGCCAGATCAAACTAGACGACGAGGTTTACGATGTTCTTCCTGAACTCGAAGACTTTCAAGTCCTTGGCCATGATCAAGCGGGCAACGTGACACTTCACCCACACAAGGAGAAGATCACTCTTCGCCATCTGCTTTCTCATACCAGTGGCATTGGTGTGGACGTCTTTGATCCGAGGCTTCAGGCCTGGCGGATGTCTCGTGGAGAACATCCGCAAGCCTTTTCGGGGGACTCAAAGAAGGCATACACTATCCCTCTCCTCTTCGAGCCAGGCCATGGTTGGGCTTATGGAGGAGGCGTCGAGTGGGCCGGGATCCTAGTCGAGAGACTGAACAAGATGAAGCTCGGCGAATACATGAAGACCAACATCTTTGAGCCTCTGGAAATGACCAGTACAACATTCCATCCTGACAGAGATTCTACAATCAAGGAGAGACTGGTTGAGACGAGTACGAGAATCTCGGATGGCACACTCGTGCCCATGCAAGGCCCTTACCCCGCTGTCACGGAGGACGACAGTGGAGCTATGGGCCTCGTCTCGAGTGTACCGGACATCACCAAGTTGACAACTGACCTTCTTCAAACTAAGCCGATGATTCTCGGCGAAGAGTCTTTGAAGGAGTTGTTCTCGCCACAGTTCAGCGCCGACTCGTCATCCGCTGGGATGCTCGCTTATGGTGCAGTAAGTCTGCCATGAATTCATCACGTCGAGATGAGATATTAACAAATTTCAAGATGATGTACGGCCGGCTGACTGGAGAGGAGTATGATACTTCAAAGGTTGGTCAAGCTCCAGGAGCTTACTTCATCAAGGATGACACTAGGATCCTGCCCGGCGGGACACTCGTCATGACAGGAATTCCGAACCTGGTCTGGTTTGTGAACCGCGAGAAGGGAATAGGCGGCTTCTACGCGAGCGCTATCATGCCGCCCGATGACGCCAAGAGCACAAAGTTGATACAAGGGTTTCTCGAGGATGTTTTCAGCGGAAAATAAGGGTCAATACCATTGCGTTGCGTTCAGATCCTCCAGGCAGCCACGATGTACATATATCAAGATCTTGTGCAGCGTATTGAAATTATGCAGTAATTTTCTCTGAGAGTGCGAGAAGATCGGCGCGCCGTTCATTTCAACCCCTGGATTCAGCTGCTCGTTAGCGCCATCAGAAGACCCTTGTTGGCATCACCGCAGATCAGCTAGTGTTCCTCGAATTGGCCTTTATTGGTTAAGACTCGGATGAAAGACACATCCCAAGGAAGCAAAAGAAAGCACAGGATGCAGCCTTCTTGTTTCCCATACTGACTCTTTCTGCTCTAGCTTCTGAACCAAAACCACCGGGTGAGCCGAGGAGGAATCGCTATCACACAAAAGACCCATGATTCCAGGTGTACTCGTCACACTAATCGAATGATCACTAATACACATATTTCGCAGTGAGATGCTCTCAAGTCGGCAACGGGGATAGTCCGCCATATTGCAAAGATATTGTGCATGCCCATGCTCATTGTAACAGAATGCAGACACAGATTGGATGTCATCCTTTGTTAGCATCTGTATAAACCTCCTACATTCATCACAAAATGAAGAACGGGCCAAATTTGGCGAGTCATGTCCCGGGAGAACATTGCTGGGCGCAATAATCCTCAAGAACCATACTCAATTTGACGTCACTAGTACGAGCAGCAGCACTTTTCACCCGACTCGAACTAGTCCCGATCTCCCTTAGATTTATGCCTATACCCCAAAGATGTTCCCTTTGTTCGGGAGCTAGCGCCAGAACCTAGGTCCCCGCAGACGCTCCACGCTTGCCCTCCCTTCAGTGTGTCCCTTCTCTGCCCATTCCGTCAGAAATTCTCCATCACGAAAGGAACATCACAGCCAGAAGCACTTGAAGTAGATCGAAATGGCCGAAACGACGACATTGCCACATATCTCAAGCCTAGTTCAGCCTGCAATACGAACAGTGGTGTCTAGCGAGGACAACTGGAAGGGCAAGACGAGCCCTGCGGAGAGACGGAAGATCCAGAACAGGCTCAATCAGCGAACGTGGAGTAAGCCGCGCACCCACCTCATGCAACCTGCTTACGCCCGCCTTTGATTGCCCATCATTTGATGGAATTTTCGACCACATCTCGTCCAGTGACATGTGCTTACTCGTCTACTTTCGCGACAGGACAACGAAGAAAAGCTGAAAAGCAACAGCAGCGCCAGGCGACGACCCGACAGTCCGGTACGGACGAAAGGAAACCCTCGTCCCAACCCTCGTCCAGCAGCAGCCTGTCGCCGCCATCCTCCATCGTAGCAAGCTCGAAGTGGGCAGCAGCATTACCAGCCGCCTCCGTGGCCAATGATAATGGCACCACGACCTACGTGACGGTGGGAATGTCTCGGCAGGGCCTATGCAAGTCGAAAACGAGCTCGCAGAGAAGCGCCAAGTATACGACGCTGATGGCCTTGAAGTACATCGGACGGCAACGACAAATTGCAGACATTCGAGACGAGGACTTGGACGACATATATCAGCTGTTCCTACAGCACGCGCATGAGAGTAGAAGGAGCCCGAACCCGGATCCAATGTCGGATTCACTAATACCGCTTGTGCAATTCAACTTGTTCCGCGGCTTGATGGAGAACATGAGAACGTTGGGTATCACTATGCCCATGATCTGTGACGATGACTGCGTGTCTCCCTTTGGAAGCGACCCCATGTACAATGCCAACACCGCTTGGAATGTCCCGTACTTTTTGAAGCCGACGGAGACGCAGCTGACAACTATACACCACCCCTGGCTTGACTTTTTGCCCCTACCGAGGATGCGGGATAACTTGATCAAGGCTGGGGATGACTGGGACGACGAGGCGCTGTGTCTAGACATGGTAGGCGACGGAGATGCGCCATCTGGAAAAGGAGGCATGATACTGTGGGGAGAACCATGGGATCCCAATAGCTGGGAGGTCACAGAGGACTTTGTCGAGAAGTGGCGGTGGATCCTTGAAGGCTGCGAGGAGATTATCCGGTCTTCTAATTACTGGAGGGCAAAACGAGGCGAAAAGAGGATGAGGGTGAGAATATGAAGACCAAGTTGCTCTCATGGCCATAACTACATCAGCGCCATGTTCCATGATTGATTGACTCTTTTGATCCAGGTGTCTGTGAGTTGGCCGCGCCATTGGCAGTAGTTACAATCAGGTGGAATGAGACAAGGCGTCCGACCAATCCTTGACTTTCCACGAGGCGCTTGCAGATGATCCAGCAAGCCGGTGACGCGAAGGCCGGGCGGCATTGAGCTCACTCCGCCCGATGCACCACGCGCTAGAGCCATCTTGCCAACTCCATGTTCATAATCCCCTGTAATCCTCCATGCAGTCCTTGGTTCGACTCAGCTTCGGGAGGTGGGGGACCAGTCGCCAGTGTTATCAGTATTCCTCGCTCCAGCATCGAGGTCAGCAAAGAATCAGAACTATCTCCAAAGACGGCATTGCTGCCCATGCCGATCCATCAAGAGCACCACAGCGGCGGGTATTCTCCGAGTCCTCGACTGCCAGGGTATTGCCTACCTCCCAGGAAACAATAGCGAGCCATCTGCGCAATTGCGGCATTGACAAATGGGGCTGGGTGATATACCGCACCACATATGGTGACGATGAAGCTTGGGAACGTTGCAAAGAGATCATCACCTACCGTACGCGCCGCAACATCGCAGACTCGGATGCACCAGGCATTGCAAAGAACCTGGAGTTGACTTTTTTTGACGACAAATTCTTGTTTGATGGGGCCTCAAAGCATCAGCTCCGATCGCATTTTCGCACTTGGTCCCTGGACGCATTTCAATCGGAGAACCCAGGAACACAAGATGTGAGCGGAGACCTAGGATATTGGATACAAGGTTGTGGCGTCCCTCGATATGTGTACTTCTTCCAGGTAGACCTGGAGTCCCTCCGGAGTATCGTGTTCGAGGCGCCTCAACCGCCTGACTACGATCTTGACTGCGAGAGCCACATCAACTTCATCGACGCCTACTGGAAACCGACAAGAGAATGGGCCGGAATGCTACGACATACAGAGCAAGACGAGATCGATGCTTTCGAGACCGCTCATGAGCCTATCGAGGGGTGCGGAGAGGAGAACGTCGGATGGATGAAGGTGTCTACTGAGACGATGGGTTCCGACTGGTATGAGGTATGGCTTGGCAGTATCGGCGGCGATGCCAGCACTTGGTATGTTTTCTACCAACGCCCGCCCGGGAAGGTGTACTGGTAAGAAAGCTGTGAAGAGCTTCGCGAATTCCTTACAACAACCGCAACGTCATCCAGTCTTGTGTACTAGGTAGCGATGAGCACGCTCCGGTAGCAGAACCATCTTCAAAGAACGGTCCATAAATGACAGGGGTCGGCGCCAAGGCGACGAGTTCATCCAAACGCCGCTTCCCTACGTCTCAGGGGGCTTAGGTCGAGGGGGGGAACCTGACAATACACCTCAATCTCATTCTCAACTTCCTCATGCTCAAGAAGACGCTCGCAAAATGAGCTTTCTTTCCAGGCTCTTTCTAAATCTGAATACTCTATACTGCCAATGTACGATCACAGCTCGCTCGCTCAATAGAGTATCTCATTCGCATCGACGATTTCTACCTGTTCGTCCTCTCTCGCCAGCCCTTGGCGGCTACCGCTACGTAGCAAACGACGCGAAAGGTTCTAAGCCCAGGGTGGACATGCTCTACGAGTCTGAGCTACTAAGGGACGAGACCCAGGACTTTGACAAATGGGGCTGAGTGTTCTACAGGTGTATATACAACGATGATGACGCTTGGGCTCGCTTCAAAGACATCATCAACGATACATCCCGACAGGGCAGCGAGTACTAAGAGTATCCGGGAATTCTTGACAAGATGAAGTGGACGTTCTTAGAGGACAAAAAAACGATTTGATGGCGCTTCCACGGCTACGTTGCGCTCTCATTTCTGCGAATGGGTAAAGCAACCAGCACAGGCAGGGAGTTCATCAGAGAAACCGCCCCGAGAGTCCAGCTCTCCCAGCTTAGAGAGCAGTTCTGATATAACGATGCATAATGAATATTTCGTGCAAGTCGACGAAGTATCATTGCGCAGCGTCGTGTACAAGGAGCTGCCGTCGGCCGAAGCCAACCTCTACGTCCGTGGGCACATCAACCTGGTGAACGCCGACTGGCATCGCGCGTCTGTAGGATTACCACGAAGAGAATATATGTGTCATCGAAGAACACTTCAGCTTCCCAGCCTTCGAGGGATGCACCGGGGAGAACGTCGGCTGGATGAGGCTGGTAGCGAGTGAAGTTGGTCCATCTACCTTTCAGAGGATCGCTCATCCGTGGTACATCGTTTATAAGAGACCTCCCGAAATCGTGTACGGCGTGTAGAGTGGGTGTTATGTAGTGTCCAAGGGTGTATGGAACGTATGTGGAAAACATCGTTGCTCATTATTGTGTACTCGTGTTTTCTTCGTTCAACCAAGCTCCCGCACGTGTAGAAGTTGAGATGCCCAGGTGCGTGGATGATGTGGTCTCCATACATACAGACTCCAACGCCGTTTCGATGGGAATCATAACACCAATCCTACTCTGCGATGGCCGTCTAATCCTTGGCACCATCTGTTTCGAACCAACCCTGTTGGTACATCGCCATCCCAAAGCCTGACGCCTGGCTTACCGCCATACACTTGTCCATGATCCACATCTTCGTGTCTTTGTCGGCAAAAGCCGACTTGAGCACGGCTATCATAGGCCAGAACATACACCAAGCATTGAATCCAACGCCCTGTATGGTACAGGCTGAATCTCTGCCATCGAATCCGAATACAATACGGATTTGCTCGCAAACTTGCTCCATCGCCGTCAGTCCATGAGGGAGGTTGACGAGCGTCTTCAACTCTTCACGCGTCGGTTCTCCAAGAGCAATTGATAAGCTTAGAATGTACTCGATAAGGTGTAGTCTGATGGTGAGGTAAAGACCTTTCGCGATCGCATCGCTTGCGTCCGATTTACGGCCCAACAAGTGGTTGAAAGAGTTCAGGTCTTCGTCGACAGCGCCGTCAGGTCCGGGTTTATTCCGGGGCCCAGGGGATAAGATTCTGTAGTTCGCGGCTGCTTCTATGTCGCGTATGATGTCGATACCTATCTGAAAGATCTCTGTTACGTGGTCGACGGATGCTCGTTCGATATCTGCCGATGATAGCACGTGCTGGATCATGTGTTTGTAGTCGATAGCTCGAACGAGCAGCGGTTCAACCATGCCGTCTTTCGCCCATGCTGCTTGTTTCAAGCCGACTAGAACTGGTGATCGACCTTCCTGGCCGATGAATATTTCGAGCATCTGAGGTAGATTAGTGACCGGCCGTGACTAGCTTGTCATTACAAGAATACTTACCCCCAGGTGAACCACAAACGCAAGTAGGCCCTTATCGAGTGATGTGGCAACACCCTGTTCTGCTCGATACCTCAAGAGTGCGAGAGAACCTCGACAATGCGATGTTATCTTCCTTGGTGATGTATCCGGTACTATTGCCTTGAAGTATGTTAGTGTCTCACGTCGAAAGATTCATCCTCATCGGTGTACGTCTCCTTCACCAGCCTCCCTCAGTTTACTTACCTCGAAGAGGCCGAGAGTGAGTAATGCGACAACAACCGAGTCGTCTTGCGCTGTCGAGTTATCCTTCAGTGCGCCACCAATCTTGCTAATCGCCTTGCCATAGTGTTGCCGCGCTTGAGCCATCAAGCCTGCCTGGCACATCTGTAAAGAGGAGCTGGCTAATGCCGTGGCTTTGAGAGCCTCCTGCAAAACAGGCGATGAGGCAGCCGACGACTTCATGCTAGGGAAGAGGTTGAACAAAGCGACCTCGCCTCCGGATGCATAGTTGGAGTAAAAGTGGTTAAGTGAGATGAGCTCGGAATCGACTTGAAAGGCTTTCGGTACGGTCCGCAGCCTCCTCTGAATTTCCTCTTCCTCTACTGAGTCCGGAGAGGTTCCCTCTTCGTCGACTTCCAGAATTGATGACGCTGGGTCAAATGCGCCTCTTTCCTTCAGTCGTTTGGCGACCCTAACCTGGACCTGGTGAGCCGCCGATGCGTTCTGCTGGCGATGCACAACGGCCCACGCATCCGCGTAACCCGGACACGCCCTCCCGAGACTCGTACAGCGGTTACATGAGGGCTTTCGGAGATCGCACTGGCAGCTCGCGTTAGGTTCAATTCACTTCAAAGAACCGACTCAAGAGTCAGCAGTAGGCGTTCGGAGTCTGAGTACTTTGACTTTGCGCGCCTTGCAGGCGAAGCAGCTCGCTGACGGGCGACATCCCATCGTATCCGTCGGCTCCGGTCCTCTGTGGGCGATGAACCCCTGGTGTGATCCCGACCCCCCCACCACTTCTGCGAAAAGATGGAACGTTAAGCCAGCTCTGCGGTGAGCTCAATCTGACATTGGTTTGATGAGTGGGAGCTCGTGGGATACCGACGACGGCGTTGGCTTCTTCGGTCCTTCGGGAACGCGGCTTCGTTCACCTTTTTGAACAGGCGATCGCTTGCTGGTCGTTGGCTGAGCATAAAGGAGAGACAGCTAATTAGGGCGCGGCCTGGCGTCTATCGAGGCTAGCTGTTCCCTGATCCGAGGCACCGGGCGTGCGGGGGCCACCTCTCGAGGATTTTAACTTTCAGCAAATGGCTCCAACACGCAACGAAGGAGGGAATCCGTAACTGGGAGACTGGGTGGCTGGACAGTGACGACAGCGTTAGCTAGGCAAACAGAGGTGATGGTGGTGGCGTCGAGTCATTTGGGAATTTCTCACGCCTTGAACGTATCCCAGCTGGCGCCCATTGAACCCGGAAGCTTTGCAACAGGACTGAATCGTGTTTGATGACGTGGTCAAAGCGCCGAAACCTAAACCATTGTCTTCCGGACGGTCAATGGCGGGTTCCTGTCCGAGGGATGGTATTGCACAGGTTCCTGAGGTTCATTCAAGCTTTGCCAACGCGTGGGACTTCCCATTGTTGATGAGACCATGGGACCAGAGGGCTGCTCCACGCCTACAAGACTCTCACATAGTGAATTACGTAGTGAAGGGATGCCAGGTTGGGTGGTTGCTGAGGAATCCCTTGGCACCCAAGCTCTCTCGTCCGGAAAGATTGGACAGATCGGGTCAAGCCTCGGGCCCCTGAATATCAAGGGATTTGTAGCCTCGGCCTGCCAGAAATAGCATTCGTCCCGAAACTCTGAATAAGTTCATTCACTGACTGCACGATGGCCGTTGAGTATCTCGCTCAGGTCGAGACCGTCCTTTCGAGTGGATCAAGCACACCCTGGCTGACGTCCTCGAGGTCACCCACAATCTTGGAACACGCACATCAGACATTTTGGGAACTATTCACTTGGCAAGCCAGATGTTAAGAGTCCGGTTAAAGATGGCAATGACTGAGACGTGTCAGAAGAGCTCTGAGATGAACGCTTATTCCGACTTCACGCGTTCGAGGTGGCACACGATTCAGGCATGGCTTGGGACGACCCTTGGTTCGATAAGGCATCAGGATTCGTAAAGGCGAAATCATTGATGACAACATCTCATGTAATTGATTCAGACGTACTGTCATTAATGCTACTGTCAGCTCCGGCGTGGTGTAGAGCCTTCTCGGCCGAGTGCTTGCCGATAGACTTCCGGGTTCGGTCTAAGACACCGAACGATCCTCTCGACGCCGTTTCCTCTCCTCTTGTTTGCGCTGAACGTAATATGAGACCATGCTCTCCAAGTCGTCCTCCCATGGATGAGTTCCTCCCTGGGACTTGACATTGGTGAGACCCCAGTCAAACAGAATCGTTTTAATCTCGCTGAGACAGTCGGCTTCTGTAATACCCCCATTTCTCTCCGGAATGACTATATCTCCGTGTTCTTTCCTTAGTCCATGAATTTCATCCTTGAGATGTTTTCCTGCCGCTCTTCTCTCTTCGGCTTGAAGTAGCTGGACCTTGGTAACCTCCATTCGCCGGCGAATGCGTCCGCTGGCGGGGAGGTTTCGCTCGTCTGGTGTGACAGACTCCTCACTGCTGCTAGTTGATGAAAGTTTGCTGAATAAATTGCGTGTAGTGTGTGATATGGCTGCTTGGAGCCGGAGATCATCTTTGAGATCATGTTGGAAAGCCTCGAGTTCGGTGTTGTGAGCTAGTTTAAGCTCAGCCAAGAGCGTGCGATGGAGCGTTTCCAGCACGCGACGCTGGATACTATAAGCTGCAACTGCTATTTTGATGTCGTAGGTGGTTGGCATCTTCTCATTCATTGATTCATCGTTTTCAGATCTTGCAAAGGTCTTCTTGAGACACAACATTGGCTTGGACATGCTGAGCGACTTCTTTAATATGATGTTATTGTTTCTGAACTTGATGCGAGTATTCATGAATCCGTCCATGAAACGATATGGAGTGTCTAGTGTTCAATTGTCTCAGGCAACGAGAAACAAACTTGATAGGGTATCGCAGTGCTGGAGGACAGAAAATGCAGGAGGAAAGGCTCTGGTCTTACCCTCAGTTGTGCAACTATCTCCGAAGCTCCATAGGAAGACTGGTTCGATATCATGGTCGAAAGGGTAGATCTTTTCAAAAGTGTTCATATTCAAGAACATCTTTGGTCCCCAGCCTAATGCTACTCACGGTTCTACGAAAGCCAATGGTACAGATATTTTGCCAGAAACAGTATTATCGCGCCTGCAATGGCGTAGCTGATCAAAAATTTGCAGTCCCAAGCTCATCATTGCATGGCGTTCTAGACTGCTTTGGACAGAACTTCGGCCCAGACTTGATACCCCCTCTCGTTCAGATGAACATGGTCTACCAGACACTCCTCCATATCAACCAAGGGCGGCTCTAAGAACTCTATTTGGTCAACTTCATCCTCTTGAAATTGTCGAATAAGCTCAACATAGCTCTCATTCGCTTTCACAATCAGCTCTTCCCTGATATCCTTCCTCCTGAAGACGGGTTTAAGAAAGGGGACTGGGTAGGTTGACGAAAGGTGTAGGCGTTGCGCCGGCTCCGGTGCCCTCCGATGCGGACTAGGTTACGGTTACTTATGCATCTCGGCCTACACTGTACAAGTACTTAGCCCTAGTCACTCCGTTGCTAACTCTCACGATACTTCTTCTCAGACATAAAGTTCAATATATCAACGTATAGGGTCGCATCACTGGTTGGTCTGAAGGTTGGGCAGATTAGTACGCTACGTACGGTGGTGATTGGATAGCCGCCTTCTGCCGTTGCTGTACCTCGACGCTTGTTTATTTCTGTTAAGACTGTTGTTGGAGCCCTTTACGCCCGTTAGAGAGTACTGGCTTTCTTCTAAGCCTGTTTTTGGCAGAAGCGCCCGTTTATTCAGGCTTAGGAACCCCGCTAATGCTAGACTTAATAGTTCTAACCTTGGTAACGGCGGCCGCTTTGTAATGGTGGCTAGCGAGCTATTTAAATTATAGAAGACTGGCCTGTGCCGCCTATATCTGTTACTAAAACTGACGCTATTTGTTCTGCTACTTAGTGCGAGCCTGGTAGCCTCTGCGGGCCTTATAAGCCTAGGGTTGCCGATGTTGTGATTTGTTGTACCAATTATGATTTGGCACACCCCGGACGGAATAAGGGCGGTAGATAATATGCCGGAGCGCTTCCCCGGCGCAACACACTTCCTCGTGATTGAGAAGAGCTAAACGAGAGCCGAGCGAGTCGGCCCAAGATTATTTCGTATAGTGACGCATAATATCGCTTGGATGGCATCTTCAGCCTAGCCAGATACCACAACGTCAACATTGAACTCCGCCAGTGCGTTCACGGGCGTGAGAACGAACCTCGCACAAACTCAATTCGGCCGCGATTTTTTCGCGGGCCAGCAATGATGTACCTTGTTGCTGACGTGGTTACCGTAATCCCGCGGTGGGCCCTTTTTCCATTCTGAGGAGATCGTGGATACCGTAGAGCGTCTCCGAAACATTAAGAAGAGTTAGGCGAGACGGAAGCCATGGTACTCTATAAGGCTATCTAACTGATATATGCTAATAGCGCTGCGAGATAGTCAGATAAAAGACGGCACGAACATGCTTCGGGGCTATCAAGACGTACGTCGTGATAGTAACTGAGCGGCCGTTCACGATGATCCTGTCGACATCAGAAGTAACTCTATACAGAGGTGAGAAACTCTACTATCTATGACGAAGACTCGCCCAATTACGCTATCGCGGTAACTACTCGTATATGTCGGTTATCTGCACGCGTGGGCTGTTGACTACGGCGTCTACTTCCTGTAACATGCCGATGGATCCCCATCTTGCCCCTTCAAGGTCCTATACACTGCGACCCCAGAACCCTAATCGTGGCATGTTGAAGATAGGGTGCTCCAATGCAACTTTGATGGTTTGCTAGAGGAGTAATGCAGAATCTAGTTCCGTGACTGCATCTGTCGATGAAAAGCTACGTTTCGCTCCGTCATCAACGAAGGCATGATAGCTATTTGAAAAGGAATAGTCAGGCCATGCAATTACGGTCCAGGGGGTTAGATGCACCCTCCCCCCGTCCCCATTTCTTCACCAGAATCAACAAAATCGCGGCTATCAAATGTTATTACATCTAATTATAGAGAATAGCTGCAATTATTAACGATTTTATTTCCAAATTTCAAATGATTGAAACAGCATTTAAGTATCTTTTGCTCCATTTTTGTCACATGCTAGGTCTAGATGGTTGCTTCTACAGGTGCAGCTAGGTGACTTCACCTCACTGCTTTCCTTGACTTAGACCATGTTAGAACACGCAGGTGCAGGGTGACTACGTGTGACTAGGCGGCATTTCCATACCGAATTGGAAAGAATTCGCGATTGTCGCTAGACCAGACAATGTTAGGAAACGAGGAACCGCTAAACCTCCCTGACCTAGAGGGGCGGGATCTTGAGCAGAAGTTGCACGATATGTAGACATGTTAAGACGTCCATCGACAAGGTTTCCAGCATATTGAAATAGATAAAAGTGCCCGTTAGCATCTACATCGGCTTTCTCATATAAAGCCAACATTCCTCCGTCAAACAACATCAATGTCACACAGGTCAACGCTCTTCTTATAGACGAACTAGCTCTAACTCCCCACTTCTCTCTCTCTTTCTCACATCACTCTCATCCATAAGGTCAACTACTTTTCATTCATAATGTCTTGTACACAGGCCGGTGCCCGGGCCATGTGGCGACAGCTCTCCAGTCCCTTGAATAGGGTCTTCCAAAAACACGTCAGACAAGAAGATGACCTTGCTGACCAGCCAAAGCGCTTGGCTGCCCTTGTTGCCCCCATTTGTTCTCAAATGCTAGAACAGTTAAACTATCCGGGTGCCCCACAGCTGGAAGGTGAAGCTGTTGAGGTACTCTTGGCGTACATGTACAATAGGGCTGTGAAGATTGGAGTTCCTCTTGATACTCACATCTCTGCGAAGGGTTTTCGTCTGGGTTATGCTGAAGGATTGGTTTGTTGAGTTCCAGTGTTATTCTTTGCAATGTGATTCTAACATCAGTCAGCTCGCCCATCCCAGGCATCCGGTTGAAGTCCAGGGATACGTCGGACTCTTCACTTGGCTTGTCGTTCAGTACGACGATATCGTAGGGCAAAACAACCAGATGGTGGAGGAGGCGCTCCTTTTTCATGAAAGATTGTTCCGAGGCGAGCCCCAGCCGAACTACTTACTTGAGGGAATTGCCGGACTTCTTCGCGAAGCCCGCGACCACTTCGACACCGTCTTAGCGAACATGCTCCAGATCTCGGCGCTCAAATTCCTGACGAGTAATTTATTGGAACGACACAGCGGTTTCCAACACATGTCTATCACACGGGCAGGGCAAAAGTTCCCAGACTTTTATCGAGACATGTCGGGCATGGACCAGGCCTATGCTGTGTTCTGCTATCCCAAAGCGCTATACCCGGATGTCGGAGCCTTTCTAGAGGCAATCCCAGATATGGCTAATTTTATTAATATATCTAACGACGTCTTGTCGTAAGTAAGGTGCGCTATTAGTCCGAGCAAGCTGCTGACGTTCTCCAGTTTCTACAAGGAAGAGCTAAGCGGAGACACGAGAAAGTATGTTCATAACCGCGCCACGTGTACTGGCCAGCCAGTGCTGACTGTGGTAGCGGAAGTAAACCGAGAGTCAATAGCATCAGCAAGGCGGGTTGAGAAGATCCTCAAGGGAAGAGGCATATACGAACAGTCCTGGAACGATAGTGTCAGGGGCTATATGGCGATGCATACGACCAACCCCCGATACAAGTTGACCGATCTAGGAATCGGCGAGGAGCACCCACTTGCTCCATTCGAACACAGAATCGGCCAATTGTTTGAGCAAATGAGCCGAAAGGAATGAGTACGTCGTGTTCCGAGAAAGAGCTTTGCATTTTCAGATGGCCATGATTTTCATGCTAAGTGATCGGGGCCTGATTAAGCCTAAGCAGAATCATTCAGAATAGATATCAGACAAACTCCACTTACGTGTTTTCTAAAGACAGACACATTCATTTCTACACGCGAGGAGCCTGCGTTGCATCAACTCAAAAAGAACCATGTTTTCCCCTCAAATACGAATAAGTCACCGTGTTAAAGTGACTGCCCAGCGGCAATTTCTGTCATTTTCTAACCTATCCCTAATCGACCATGAAACTGACTTCGGGAAGATTCGATCTTGATTTTGATAATAATAGCCATCAGTCTGCTTCAAACTCTAGGGAAAATTTTCTGAGTCGTAGCGAAACTGCGTCAGTAACGATGTGTTTTGACCGTGACAAATTGATAGTGGGCCTGATGTCAGAGGGCTGGGTTCGGACAGAGTATTCGAGATAACAAGTTCTACAAAGCTAGAAGCAAATCATGCCTATCATTCGAATCTACCCCCTTTTCTACGGTGTGGAGACTCCAGCTTTGTGAAATGCTTCGCCACGGAATTGATATTCTGTCCCGAGTGGACCTCACCGCTTCCCCCGGCGCTCCCCCGGAGCTGCCCCGGAGGCCCACCCTCCCCTAGGCGGCACCTGACACTTGCTCTGTCCTAGTTTTCGGCGCCTTGCCGAGGATCAAACCGAACCAGCCTTTAGCTGAGCGTATATATAACCTTTCCAGTGATTCCAACCATGGAAGGGGCCTGCATGATGCTTTCCTGAGCTCTCCGGAGAGCTGAGATGTCTGGGCTCACCGCATGCGTAAAGGTTGGGAGGCGCTAAACGAGTGCAAATACACAAAGCAACGTCAATTGAGCAAAGACACTCATCATCCTGCTGGACCTCCACAGGCTGGAACACATAGCTCTGCAGGTCAGTCAGAGTTATGTTCGGCTGAGTGGCTTCATCAATTACTGCTCTCCTCTTCTTACTTTCTATCCTCGTTCCGACTCAGCTTCTCAC